GAGTTGGAGGTAGAGCACCTGACTGCTCAGCTTGCCGAGGAGAGGGTGAGGAGCCAGGCCAGAGAGGTTGAGTGGGAGAGGAGATTTGGGGAGATGGCGGCCGCTATGGATAGRCTCTCAGCAGCCTGGGAGGCTAGCACGACAGGGCCGGCCGGTGATGACATCCAGGGCCGTGGGATGCAGGCGTCGTCAAGTCAGGGAGTAGCAGTGGAAGTCCCTCGTCAGGCCGAGCCGATGGAGGAGGCACCCTTGGATGCAGTCGAGAAGGAGAGTGGCGCGCAGGAGTCGCTTATGGCTATGTCCACGGAGAGGAGGGGTTCGCGCTTGCATGAGTTGGCGGCAGCCATGGGGATAGGCACTCCACAAGAGGAGCCTCAGGGACTTGACGCTCCAGAGCATGCCCCGAGGTTGGGAGATTTGAGGGCGGAGCTGGGCTCCTGGGCCACGGGGACAGACTCGGGAGGGCCTGACTCGCGACGGCAACAGCGCAGGAGGTCGTGAGTGAGCCCGCCGCTATGAGGGGCCAGCCGACAGGAGTATGCAGGGATGAGGCGGCGATGACAGAGAGCGCTCATGAGGAGGGGCCCCGAGAGTTGGACACGCCAGAGCGCGGGCCAGGGAGTGCGGCTGCACGAGGGAGTGAGGGTGCTGAGGCTATGGGGCCAGGACCGCAGGGCCATGTGGGGTTGCCCTCGTGTCATGAGGTGGTTGCTGAGACCATGGGGACGCCTTTAGCATCGAGTTCGCAGAGGGGAAAGAAGAAGACTGCTAGGTGGCATGATACCTCCTGTTTTTGGTGCAAGGAGGGGGGACATAGAATCGTGAACTGACCAGAGCTCCTTCAGGATAAGGCCAAAGGGCGAGTCGTGGAGGTCGACGGCAAATTCTATGACAGACAGGGCAGGATAGTGGAGCGAGCTCCAGATGGGGGCAGGGCCCTGTTATACAAACAGAACCAGGAGAAATTGTGTAAGTAGGGATCAGTCTGTCTATGTATTGATAGGACTAGAGATCTTTGACACACACAGGGCAGGGTTCGAGGTGTACATACCTTGAGTCAGTCGAGCGGGCCCTAGGTGTGTGTGTGCGTAGGGGTGGTGGGATGAGCTTCTATCCGTTTGTACATATGCGTTCGACTTTTGCTCACTTGCCTCCTCTTGAGAGTCTTCGTGGGCTACGACCCAGGGGTAGGGCTCGGCCGTGTGATGTATGAGATTACTTAGTTATATTTGGTTTGGGGATTCAGAAGCTTGCTGCTCTGAATGGAATTTGGGAGTTCGTAGCACTCAAGGTGTGAGTTCTCCCAGCAGGGGAGGACAGGGGCTAGAATATTCTATGGATGATTAGCCAGGTGCTATGCTCCCGAGTGTACTTGATGAGTATACAGTGGGGTTATGAGTCCCATTCAGACGGGCAGGGTATGGAGTTGGGTGCTTGTATTCGATTGTTGGGGGAGGCATTCTACTCCCTGAGTGTACTATGAGTTGAGATCCTATGGGACTTGTTTTGTGACGATCACTATCGCTCTCACATGTGTGGATTTATCTCGATGAATGTTTGGCTTTGTGTGAGAGATGTACAGGATGCATCTCATGGGCATGATTGTGTAAATTGTAGAGTTGTCTACCCTCCGGTATACTCGTGCGGTCTGCTACAAGCGGACGAGAGGGTAGGGTATAAGGAGGGGAAGTGCAGCCCGTTTGTGAAAAACTATGAGGATCCTACGGGATTGATGGATTTAGGAATTTGCATACTTGGTCATACTAAAACACCGTTGCATAAGTTGTACAGGGACCCAGAAGGTTGTCCCTCAATTTGAGTTGTTTGATGATTAAGGCCCCCTTTATAATTCTGGGAGGTGGGAGTTATATTGCGTTGAGACCCTTTCATGGTTTTGGAAGAGGTCGTGTGAGGAGTCATCTCATACAAAAGGGGTGGCCAGGAAGTCTTTTATGGAAGGCACCCTTCACCCAGTAAGGGAGGGCAAAAAACGAATGATGTGGAAAGCATTGTCTGTGCTGATAAAGTCTAACGAGAGGAGACCATGCTTGCTTGAAATGTATGAGGAGGGCGAGAGATGCCTCAGGGTGGGCGACTGCTGGCTCTGATCAAATCAGGAACCGCGGCCTCGTGGACCCGGCGGGGAGATTGTTTATGACTGAGTAAAGGATGTCGTGCCTATTACTGGAGGGCCGATAAATGCCTTTGGACCACTGCGTAGTCCCGCAGCGGCCATGAATCGTTTGTAACGCCCCGCCTGGCCACCTATGCTAATTCTGAGACATGTTTAAAGGAATATCAAGCTAACGGTAAAGCTTAGTGCTACCTGGGCGCAACCCCTAGTGGATGGCTGCTAGCCGGCACAACCTGGCTGCGGGCCGGCAAGGCAAGAGTTTAAGGGGAGTTGCCCGCCCCAAGGAAATTACCTTGCGGGATAAGAGTCGCGTCTTTTGAGAGCCCTGATTGATTGGTTATCAGGGATATACCTGCCATTGTATAACCAATGGGAGGATACTGCCGCTAAGGTAACAATGTGGTGGGTCGTAGACCTGGCCCGATCAACCAGGCTACGGTGGGCCCAGATGGGGACCTGGCATTTCTGTACTAGGCTGCAAAAAAGCCCAAGCGAGGCTATAAGCTTATACATGTATGTTTGGTTTGACTGTAAGGAACTTGTTGAAGAAGGCAGAGAGTGCCTTCTTAGGCGCCATTCGAAGCCCGCGTCCCTAGTTATGGCTCTGCTTATGAGGAAGAGGCTAACTGGGATACACAACGAGAGGCTGGCGGTTGTCTAGGATAAAGGGGAAGAGGATGGTTTGGGGGCCTTTGGAACTTATGCTGTAGTATTGACGCGTAATACACCGGCGTCCTGATATCAGGACAATAGAGACCCAGGTTGAAACCCTGGCAGCATATAGTTGTCTGGCACGAATTGATGGAGGCCTCGACCCTGAGTCAATCGGCTAATCGGATTGGTTCTGATCTCGTCAGCATTTGGAATGTGATGGAAATCTATAGTTTTTTTATCTGGAGACGCGACGGGGACGTCGCTTAATATGGTCCGGTAAGATGTCAACGCGAATACCCTTACAAGGGTATCCGCCCTAATTTTTGCAAGTAACAGAAAGGCTTGGTTAACCTGGATCTTGAGTGCCCGTGCGGGAAAATGCGAAGGTCGCCCGCACGTAGGCAAGGGTCTGTTTTGTCCCGGTAGGGAGTAGGTGGGCGCGCAATATTTAAGGCGCTCGTGTGATTTTTCCTAATTGAGTAGGTGGCCGGGGTAGCCGACCGACCCAGACCATGTTACGGCCCTGGTTAGGGCCTGGTTAGGGAATGAAAGTTTGTTTTTGATAGGTGCGCGTGACCGATGTTAGGGCTGGCGCGTCGGTAGGCGCATGGGACGGCCATGGCGCGGGGTGGTAGACCGATGCGGACACCTAGGGTCCGTGGGTGCAATTGTGGGCCGAAAAAGTAACCAGGGCGGTCTCCTGGCCGGAACGCCGCGCGGCACCACTTTATATGGGGAGCCGCGCCTGCAAATCACAGGCTTGGGCTTAGCCCTATCGGTTACGACGTTGGATTGTTTCAGCAGAGGTACGAGGTTCGAGACCGACGGACGGGGGTACGGGAGCGACGGAGCGGCAAGGAGCGAAAGGGGTCGAGGGTCCCATAGGACTATCCCCCTTTTTGCGGAGGGAGCCGACTGGGGGCCCACATTGCAGGATCAAGGGAGCGTCGGGGGCGGGTCCGTGCACGGTGGAAAATTTTGGTAGTATTCCCTCCGTTGGCGGAATTTTTGTCTTGGTCCGTACTGCCGCTTTGACCCCCGCGCATATGGGTGGGTGGTAATCGGGGGCAGGCCCTTAGGTACATCCGAGATGGCACGAAGAGTCCGAAGATGATCCCGGACGGGAACCTGACCGGGTACACGCGCGAACGAGGGAGGGAGGCCGGATTCGCGCGTGATGCCAGCAAGATGGGCAAGTGCCGGAATGTCGGGGTTGTTGCCAGCGGAGATCCCTCGGGGAAGTTTTGCGCAATGACAGTGCAAGGAAAGCCGCGAAAGTCCGGGGATGAACCCGGACGTAATACAGGATAAGGGCGTGCAAAGGAGAAAAGGGAGAGGGTTTGTGGCCTTTGGAGGTGCTACGGGGTGGTTACCATGACGGAAGCCCTTCGGTGCATCTACTAAAAATCGGATCGATGGATCCGTAAGGTAGCTGCGTAAGGGGGAAGGGGGGTAAAACACCCATAAACAGGGAATGAACCAGGCCGTAAAACGAGCCGGGTGCGGGTAAAAGGAGGATTGTCTAGGTTCGTAGGTTTGCCCCCGGGGCCTATGGCCAAGTAGTGACGTGAGGTGGGCGCGATTGTATGAATCCGGCCTCCAAAAGGGGCTAGGTCCAGGCGAGGAAAGCCATAGAGAGGGGTGGAGGAAGGACGCGTGAAGGCCCGGAACTGCTGACGCGGCAAAGCTCTCCGGTACCCCGAGAGAATCGGATCTTTATAGGAAAGATCTGTGGAGTACGAAAAGGGGAAGGCGCGGAGGAGATGGTGGGGGCCGGGGACGAACCTGAGCAAAGAACTGGAGCAAGGGTAGGCGGAAAAACCGGGAGTCCTTCGGGACATTTGTTAAAATTGGAATGATAAAGAGAATATTAGCACGACCCCCGCACAACGATGGCACGTACGAATTCTAAGAATACGGGGAAAGATTCGTACGACACCCGGGCAGGGGAATGCGTAAAGGTTCGGAGTGGACCGGGACGCAGCGACAGGGAAGGGGCGGAGGCCGGACTGGGATACCCTACGGCCGGATGCGCCCGGCGGCTACTTGGTGTGTTGGCAAAAGGGGAGGATGCACCCACTATGGATCGGGCCGCAAGGGGTGGCCAGGCACGGGTAAGAAAAAGGCAAAAACAAAAGGGGGGGGGGGCACGGAGATTTCTCCCCAGGCTGACGTCACGTGAGGGTCCGTCAGGGCATCAGCCGAATTGGAGTGAGGCAGGAAAGATCGGCGGGCCGCAAGCGTGGTGGCAACTATAAGTTGGTGTGCCGTCGGTGCCCCGCGGCTGTTGACTTCCTTTTTCGAAGTGCCTCGTCTTGTTGACGCGGTATGTCTTGGCACACCGGCGAGCGCAGCGCTGTGGAAGGACGAAGTAGGTTGGCGAATGAACGGGGGCGTGGGGTAGAGCCGGGTGCATGCAGGCGTAGGAGACAAGAGATGGCGGAGAGCCGGGCTGGGCGTAGCACGGAGTAGGGAGCTCGCTCAGTTCGTGGCTGTTTTGGGCGGGGAAAGATGAGTTTTGGGGGTTCTCGATGGTTGCGAATCCAATGGAGGGGTTAGACTTGGTAGTGGGATAGTATATTTAGTGCTGGTAGAGAAAAAGATCGCGCGTTGGTCAGAAACAGCGACGAAAGAAAAAACGAAAGAGATAAAAGTTGGCCACCAGGCTGTCCCCGACCGTTCGTGATGAGTAAGGACTCTCGATAGGGGATTCTGGGCACTGCGATCTTAATGATGGGCTCGGGCCTCGTGGAAGGGATGTAAATTTGGTGTTGTAGTAGGCATGGGGCGCACTCAGGAAGGGCTAATTTGGGATGGACAATGTATCTTCCCACATTTTGTGGAAGATTCGTTCGAGTTCTGTTCGTTCTGCTGGTGGAAGAAGAAGGGGACACCGCGCGGAGTTGTTGGGGATCACGTATGACTGCGTGAAGGGCTGAGTTTGTCGATTCG